TGCCACCTGCAACAAAAGCACTTCATGACCATCCGTGGCCAGAGTGGGCCTGCCCCGGAGCAGCACAGCCCGTTCCCCTGCTCTTGGGGTACCTTCACCAAGCCTCACAGAAGACCCAGGAGCACCCACAAGAGTTGGGGTGTGACAGTGGGTGCTCCCCACTCCTCTCTGCCTAGGGTCAAGAACCAAAGTCAGAGCCAGTGGTGGTGGCGCTCACCTTTAACCCAGCTCTCAGGAAGAGGCAGGCGGATCTCTGAGTTCCAGGACAGCCTGGTCTACAGAGCAAGTTCCAGGACAGACAGAGCTACACAGAGAAACTGTTTCAAACAAAACAAAACAAACACAAGAAAGGAACAAGGTGTCCGGGCCTACGGGCACCTCAGTCACAACTTACCAGCGATGTTGGCCACTGCCTGCAGCCCTGACGAACACTGTCTGTTGACGGTGGACAAAGGGACAGTCTCTGGAATGTCACTGGGAGAGAAGGGGAGATGGAAGTCAGTCCTGGAGAGCATCCATCCCGGAACGAACATGCCACAGCCTCTTAGGAAGCAGGCCCCGAGAGGCTCCCGGGCCCCTTCATGGCCCATTGCAGTGTGTACAGACCAGAGGGATAACAGGCGGCCTTATCCGTAAAGGAGGGGACAATGACTGGCAAGCCTTGTCACTTACAGACACTTGCAACCCGGGTCCCCAAACACATGCCCTGCTCTACCTTGTGATTCTAAACTCAGGCAGGGAAAGCTTGTTAGGGCCACAGGCATTCTTCCTCATCTTCTGACAACTTGACAAAGAAAAGTAGACATCTCTGTGGCCCACAGACACCGGGCACCGGTCTAAGAGCTATCTCACAGATGAGGCCTCCAACCATCTCTGTCACCTGGCCATACCTGTGTACCTGTTCTCGGTCTCTGAGAGGAAAAGTGTTTCTGGCATGTTCTTAGTACTGGGTACTCCTTGGACTTCGACACTGGCTGGGCTCAGCTCTGAGAGCTACCTCAGCTGCCCCTCTGGGTAGATACCTCATCTTGGCCAACAGTACAAAACTTCATTTATAGTGCCTCCTTAGGCAAGCCCAGAAACTTCCTTGAGAATTTTGCTAACTCTGCTGTATGGTCAGGCTTGGAAACTCTCAGTGCGGACTCTCGGTAACGGCTTTTCAGGCTTAATACACCCTTCGTTACAAGCCCTTACGCCCAAGGCACCAAGTTGCCATCCAATGAGAGGTACTGCGTTAAGGAGGCCAAGAGACCAACAGTCCTGAGCCCCAGAGGGTGCCCAACCAATACACAGAAAATCAGTTCGTTGTCAGAGATGGAAATAACAGGACAGATGGCAAAGCCACAGCACTGGGAGACACAGCAACCCTTAGCAACCACTGGACAAGAATGCCACTCTTGTGACACTTGAGAGCCAGTCTCCAAAGACGTTTGGGCAGGGGCGTTGGTAAAGCAAGGCGAGGAGGGGACAGATTGGGCAGAGTAGCGCGAATGGAAGGCAGACAGGTTAGATGAACGGGGAAAGTCATAGTGAGGAAGCCGGCAGGAGATGAGGATGGAAAGTTGCAAGAGGGATGGGGAGGCGTTCCATCCCAGGCCAAGTCTGAGCCCCTTCTAACCTCTACGTATTCTGCTCTTTGCCCTGTTCTGACTCTGGCCAGTGCTGCTATCACGTCTCATCTACCCGAGGGAGGAAGGCCTTCAATCTGCACGTGGAAGTAACTGAACCGAAAGATGGCCAGGGCTCCCCCCTGGCTCCCTCCCCACCCCACCCCACCCTCAGGCTGAGCCCAGAGTTGTCCGGCTGCTCAGGAAGGAATGGGGACAAAGTCACGGACCAACACGGTTATGCGATTATTTGCCTGAAACAAGAGGACAGAGTCCACACGTCCAAAGGGTAAGCAGCAAGTTGGCTTTGGGAAAAACCAGGCTCTAGTTCTCAAAGCCCTAGGTGTCCTGGCTCTGTGCCAGGTAACACACCCTTCAAAGTAGGAGAAAAGTTCGATCCAAGGATTTTGGTTGATTTCATATGTAGAGTCCAACCTGCTTAGCCTGTCACCGACAGACTGGTCAATGGTTCTAGAACCCCAGTAGAGGTAGAAGGGTTACCTCAGAAACTGGGCAATGCGTGCCATGACGGCCCCAGCTCCTGGCTGAAGTACATTGCCTGTGGACAGAAATCTTAGTCAGTAATGTTTTGCGTAATAATGTTAAGTTGTGAGTTCCAAATATATGTTCCAGATATTTCTTCAGATCACTTTAGAATTTCCCCAGGCTCACTTAAAACTGTAGAAGTGCAGAGTTTGAGGAGTAGGGAGCCAGCTACCAACGCCTGTCATCCACCAGCCCAGCGCTGGAGGGACACCAGCATGCTTCCCAAGGCGTGTGCCTCCAAATCAGCACAGCGGCCGCTGGCCTGCTTGCCTGGCAACAGGCGAGCATCTAGGGTAAGAGGCACACGGTGCAAAGCCTGGGAACTGTGGGTGAGGGAAGGGAGTCTGCACGGCTCACCTCCCCAAGTGTCCTCCTCCGCGCCCCGTGTCACAGCGGGAGGGGGGAACTGGCCGGCACCCCCCAGACAGAGCCCTGTCCTACAATGTTGTTTTAGTTCAGGAAGAGCAGGGGTTAGCACAGGGTTGGGGAACGTCTCAGCCTGTAGCCCAACTAGACTGGACTAATGGTTCTGACAGACAGGATGTCAATGTTGGTGGAGAACCGTGGCCTCCCACCTCCTGGGGTCTCCAGGAACATCAGGGCTTTTGTTTTGTTTTTCGAGACAGGGTTTCTCTGTATTGTTTTGGAGCCTGTCCTGGAACTCGATCAGGCTGGCCTCGAACTCACAGAGATCCACCTGCCTCTGCTCCCCAGTGCTGGGATTAAAGGCATGCGCCACCAACTAAACATCAGGGCTTTAGAACAGTGCTTCTCAACCTTCCTAAGGCTATGAGACTCTCCAATACACTTCCTCATGTTGCGCTGACCCCCAACCATAACATTATTTTGTTGCTACTCCATAACTGTAATTTTGCTACTGTTATGAAGCCTAATGTAAATATCTGTGTCTAGAAGGGGTCGCGACCCACAGACTGAGAACCAATGTTTTAAAGCTTCTAGTACAGGATGTTCCTGCTTTTCCCACGTCCAGTGACCTGGTGTGGGACACAGGCCATCCCAGGTCGTCCCCCTGAAATTAGTGGCGTCCTTCAAGTCTTGCTCAGTGAAACCCAGGTTCGCGGACAAAAGGGGAGGCCCCGGGAGGGAGGGCGGAGAGGGCCCGGCAGGTGAGCTCACCCACGGAGATGTCACCCAGCACCTCAGGCTTTAGCTTCACATCCTGGAGAACCGCGGTCAACACAGCCGACAGAAGCTCGTCCGGGGTGGTGTCCTGCAGGGCGAAGCGCGGCGACGGCTGTGAGCCCCGCTCCTGCATCCCCACCGGGGACTCTGCGGTCACCCCACCCCAGGGGGGCAGGGTCCCACCCGCACTGGCCGCCTTCTGCACCCCTCGCCCGCCCGAGGGGCCTCACCTTGAAGCCGCCGCGGCCAGCACGGCCGATCGGGGTGCGCCGTCCGTGCACCACCACCACGTCGTTGGCCGAGGCCTGCAGGAAGCCCGCGGAGCAGGGCGCGGCTTGCATCGCGGAGCTCGACTCGGGCCGGCCGGCCAGGTGGCCCAGCACTACCTGCAGCCGATGCATCGCGGAGGTGGGTCCCGAGGATTGGCCTGGGCGCTGGGTGCGGAGCTGGACGAACAAAAGACAGGCGCAGGGACCTGCCTCTTGAGGCCTAAAAGTTGCTCACAACCGGGTATAACACAGCGAGTGGCGGGGTGGGGTTTCTATGGGACCCTCCCACTCCCAGACACAACCAATTAGATTAAGGGGAGTCTGCTTGAGGGCACGCCCCCTCGACCCAGAGCCCCGCCCAAGGATCTTTCCACTGAAAGCCCCGCCCTCCAGTCCTACGGGGTCCAATCAGAACGTGCGCCCTTAAGTCTCGCCCAGAAACGCAGACTGGAAACTTAAGTTTGCGCAACCGGTTGCGGACTCACGGGAAGGAGGCACTCCAAATTTCTGGGTTCCTAAGATGAACTCTGCCTCAAGGAAGCCCTTCCTCCAAAGCCCTGAGCCCAGCGCGCAGCAGCAGAAAGGCGGAGCCCGGCACAAGGCTGCTTCTCCCTTTGCTGGGAGAGCTGGCGAAAACGCTCTGCTCTGCTCCGTCCCGGGTCCCAAAACTCAGGGCCGCGAACGTTGTTAATGTTGCGGCGCCTGGTTCGGCCCAAGGCGTTGAACTGTTACAGAAGCCCCCTCAGAAAGCAGAGCAATATTTGTTTCCCTGCTGGTATGGAGAACCGATTTTTACCAATGTGCTGAATGGCAGCCAGGTTCTAACTGTAGCGCGTCCCACGCGTCTTAAGCCTCTTTAAAGTCTGTTTGGGATGGTGTTATTAATGACCACATCCCCGCAGGAATTCTGCAAAGGTGGGGAGGGGTGGAGACCCTGCGTCCGAGACTGACACCTAAATAGACTGAGTAAATTAACGGTGGTAGGTCCGCGTGTTTTTTGCAGATCCCGAAAGGGTAGAACTGGGGTTTGCCTCAGATACCAAAGGACAGGATGCCCTAAAAGCCGACTTGCGGGTAGGGTTGTGGCCTTCTCCTTTAAACTGCAGTTACCACTTGCTCCAGATGGCCGGGTGCAGATTGAGGCTTCACGTTACCACTTCCGAAGCCACGGTCTGTCTCTTTCCACCCCATTACTAGAATACAGGTTACTGCACGTAAGGGCTGTGACTCCTTCACGTCCCACACAAGGCTGATTCGCCTCCCCATGCTTTGCCCCGTGTTCAGGTGCATACGCAAACACACTCCGTGGGCAGTGGCAGGGCGCCCCAACTGCGCTCAAGAGCTGGGGACTCCAGATTCTAGCACAGGGCGGAGCTTCTCGGAAAGCGAGAGGAGGCGGGGCTGAAAGGAACCCTAGGGGAAGTAGGAAGGAAGCTCGGCGGGAGAGCGGGCTGGACCTCAGCGAAGCTCAGGGTGGCTCGCCATGTCTGCGGGAGGCCCCTGCGTGGGATCGGTGTCCCTGGACTCCTCCATGTCCTCCCTACCCTTGGCCGCGCTCAACGTGCGAGTGCGGCGCCGTCTCTCGCTGTTCTTGAACGTGCGGACGCCGGTGGCGGCCGACTGGACTGTGCTGGCGGAGGAGATGGGCTTCGAGTACTTAGAGATCCGACAGCTGGAGACGCGCCCTGACCCCACCCGCAGTTTGTTGGATGCCTGGCAGGGGCGCCCTGGCGCGACGGTCGGCAGGCTGTTAGAGATGCTGGCCGCGCTGGGCCGTGAGGACATACTGCTGGAGCTGGGACCCAGCATCGGTGAGGACTCGTGCTTTCTGGCTTGGTGCCAATGGTCGAGGAAGCTGGCCTTGGCCTATCAGTCTTGTTTCATTTTTCTGAGGTGTGCTGGGGAGGGAGGGAAATTTGCTGTCTATATGCAGGACAGCCTAGGATTTGGGAGAGGGTTCAGAACCCCTGATATAGGGAAAGGGTGTGGAATGAGTCGTCTAATTGGGCCAGGAATCAAGGTCTGCTTCTCTGGGGGTACCTCAGCTGCGCCAGGAGCAACAGGACAGGTGAAGGACTAAAGCCCTTTCTGTCACCCGGTGGCACTCAACACAGCACCCCTGCCTACAGTTAGGTACACCTTGCGAGGTGGGGGCCACCACCCTCACTGAGCACTAACCGGGTACCGAGCCCTACTGGCATTCCTTTCTACCCTGCATCCTGCAAGATGCCCAACTTAGAGCCATCCTCAAGAGCATTAGGGAGGGATGCAGGATGCAGGGTGAGAGGCGGGTGCCAGCAGGACTTTGGTGGCCTCCTGGATGCACACTTTTTTTTTTTTCTTTTTTGGGGTGGAGGAGTCAGAAAGGGAGCAATGGTTAGTCAGAGCTGTCCGTGGCACTAGTGGCTACCTGAGAAGGCCCAGAGCACAAACAGGCCAGTGGAACAAAGACAGGATGTAGATGCTGAGTGTGTACAGCAGCCTGGGGCATCTGGGAAGGCGCGAAGACCCTGTCTCTTCTCCACAGTGGAAGACTGCAAGAAATACATACGGAATCAGGACAAGCAGGAATCTGAGAAACCCTTACAGGTGGCCAGAGTGGAGAGCAGTGTCCCACAAACAAAGGAGCTGGAGGGCATCACCACTCTGGACGACCCCCTGGGTAAGCGCCCAGTGTTGTTCCCCGGGGTAGGACAGGTGGGCCACAGCCCCAGGGTGAGTGGTGTGCAGAACATAGATATTGGAACACAGATGGACGGACCTGGACCAGAGATTCTTTCTGAGTCTTGGCTTCCCTATCCAAGAAATGGGAATAGCAGCAGCCCTATCTCTGAGTGCTTCTGAGACTGTAATGGCAGGTCTCCACGATAGTTAGCCAGATTTCATCTGGGAGGGAGTTATCTTTTCACTGGTGGGAAGGGCACGTGTAAGACATCTCTTTGGGATGACTCCAGGCTGGGCTCCTTCCAGACCTTCCTGCAGACGGCTGACCGTTACCCTTGTCCCCTGTCCTCAGGACAAACACCAGAGCTTTTCGACGCCTTCATCTGCTACTGCCCTAGTGATATTGAGTTTGTGCAGGAGATGATCAGACAACTAGAGCAGACAGACTATCGGCTGAAGTTGTGTGTGTCCGACCGTGATGTCCTGCCAGGCACCTGTGTCTGGTCCATTGCCAGTGAACTCATCGAGAAAAGGTTGGTTATGCATCCAAGAGGGGGCAGGTACCTAAAACCTAGAGGGCCAGATGCTTGCCTCTTCTGCCAGCTGGGCTCTCTACCGGGTACGGTGGTCGTCCCCAAGGCTGTCCTCTAAAGGTAAGCTGAGGAAAGTCACCACAATGCCTGCCCACTGCTACTGTCCCTCAGGTGTCGCCGGATGGTGGTGGTTGTGTCTGACGATTACCTACAGAGCAAGGAATGTGACTTCCAGACCAAGTTTGCTCTCAGCCTATCTCCAGGTAAGCTTAGACTGGCTTTGCTCAGAGGGGGGGGGGGAATAGCCTTAAGATTCCAGACCAAGAATGCAGGACCAATCTCTGAGTGGTCCTGCATGCCAGATCTCTGAGGGGCTGTATCTGTGAACTCTTTATGTTCTGGATATGAACCATGGGTACCTAGCTGGTGGAGTGCTGCTGTTACCCCTTGCTTTGGAGACTGGGTCTGTCCACCATAGGGCAGGAACCAGGTCCCAATACCTCACCCTTTGGCCTCTAGGTGTCCAACAGAAGCGACTGATTCCCATCAAATACAAGGCAATGAAGAAGGACTTCCCCAGCATCCTGCGGTTCATCACTATCTGTGACTATACCAATCCTTGCACCAAGTCCTGGTTCTGGACCCGCCTTGCCAAGGCTTTGTCCCTGCCCTGAAGATGGCCCTGGCGGCCCTAGGTCTGTCAGTCTGTCCTTACTCTTCTGCTCGCCTCCTCTGGCATTGTAGGAGGAAATTTGTGGTCTGCCCATCGCTGGAGGTTCTACCCCTGCAGATGCTTCTGCAGCAGCCAAACCTCATCTGGACACCATCTTTCAAGTCTTGAATGGTGTGAGTGATGCTTGCTGGGTTGTCAGCCAGCACAGCGATCACCAGGGTTGGTTGAGCCTAAGTAGGGGACCGGCTGAGCTACGTCTGAGCCATCTTTGGCCTCAGTTTCTCCACCTGAGAAACGGGATGTGGCGATGAGGCAGGAACATGGGGAGGCATGGCCCTTGCTGAAGGAGAGCTGATTATGGGACCACATCCTTGCCAGGATGATTGCGTCCATGTCGGCCTCATCTTCCTGTTCCTCCTTTCACAGGGCTATGGGGAGGTGAGCTGACTTTGGCCCGGATTCTCTGAAACTGGCCTATCGGCATCTTTGACCCGCCCCCCCCCAGCCTCAGCCCCGTGTCCAGTGGTCACTGGGAACTGGGACTGCTTTTCCTTTCCGTGTGGCTGCGTCTCTGCACATGTCTCCGTTTGCCTCGCTTGAAGTGGGGTCCTGTCCTCTGACATGCCTATCACTTACAGTGCCTCCAGCAAGGCCACCAGGATGATGTATGTCATCAGGGAACCTTCCTCCCTGGCCCAGCAGCACTGAGACTTTCTAACAGTTTTCTGCACCTCCATCCCCTACTTTGTTAACAAGTAGCACACACACAAGACATCCTTTCCCCAGGGCTTGGAGGCGTGTGGTCCCATATAGTCTTGTTCATGTAGATACATGTAAACGCTCTCTCACACACACAGGCATCTGCGTATGTGTGTTTACTTTGGGGCAACTCCCAAGAATGGCTGAGTGGAAGAGTTCTGCCGTCAAGGGGGCTTGGCCATCTCCCTGGACAGAAATGGGGCACCCTTGCTACATGCCTATAATTCCAGCATTGGTGAGGTAGAGGCAGGAGACTCAGGAGTTGAAGGCTCTCCTCGGCTACACATCAAGTTTAAGGCCAGCCCGGACCACATGAGAGCCCATCATCTCCCCACGCCCAAAAGAAGGAAAAGATGGGGGCATTGTTAATTTCTTCTCTCCTTTCTGTAATCGTTGAAAGTAAAGTCTCGAAAGGCCCCAAATGTGAGAGCCACTTGTGCCCCCAGCAAAATGAGGTTGAAAAAGGAGAAGTCTCCTTAGACCACAACTCAGCAGGCTTGGCTGTTTACTCCATAGCAAAATGGTTTCCAAACTCCTCTCAAGTTCCTGTCACGGAGGAGGCAGTGTCACAGTCTCTGGTCTCTGTGCTCAGGGGACATCCCGGGGTCCAGAATCCAAAAAGAAAACAGGCCTCCCTCCCCTCAGGACCGGGGCTGGAATGGAGGCCCCTTTGTATCACCTCATGAAACACGTCTGTGTTTGCTAGTAGGCATTTTTTTTTTTTTTTAAAGCAATGTGGAGAAAGATTCTTCTGTACTTGTTTTAAGGTTTAAGAACGTCAGTGAGATGAATGGGGTGAAGGTTCATGTTTGCCATTTTATACTTCTATATTTATAGAAGTATGCATTTATACTTATAAAAAGTGTTTGTAATACAATTCTATTCGAGAAAGCAAACTTGTGGCTGTGTCTGTTAAAGTGTTTGGAAGTAGACAGCTAGACTGTGACTTTCTGTGTAAGAGAAGCTGCCCTGTGGTGTGATGTGGTATCCCCTGAGGCTTAAAGATGGCTGAGCCCTGGGCTTCAGGGGACCAAGTGGGCATAAGGGTATCCATTGCCTCCAGAAACCTGCTCCCTCCCAGTAGCCTGAGGCTTTCCTAGGCTGTGCCATGTTCTAAGTCCTGCACCTGCTGGTTGTATACAACGCTAAGGATTGAACCCAGGGTCCATGATAAGCATATTTCCTATCAAGCTGAATTATTCTCAGGCCACTTTCTAGACCTTGATTGTGGTGTTACGCACATCCATGTAAGCGACTGGCTCGCTAAGTACTACACACACAATACTGATGTTACACCTCAGGTCTTCAGATTGCCCTGCTGTTATATGCCATATCCCATGGCGCACTGGGGAGACCTTGTGAAAAGTGTAAGAATACTGATTACCAAGTTCCTGAAGGTCTGAAATTATCAAGGTAGGAAGTTTTAGAGCTAGTTGAGATGGTGCAGGAGCAGTAGGGGACAGATCTAAGTGGATGATTCGATCCGAGTGAGAGGATGGAGGATGGCATGGTCGGGTAAGACCTCTGAGGCTCAGCAGGGATGACTGGGGGCCATGGGACTCAGACGGCAGCAGTGCCCTGGCTTGTCCGGGCAGGAAGGAGTGCTGGCCTCCAGTATGTTGGGAGGAGCAGGGTAGAGCCTACCCGTGAGGTGGGGCAGGCAAGTGGAGAAGAGGGTTGCAGTGTCTGCTTCAGGGATTTGCTTGAGGGAAGATGAGAAAGGATGCGGTGGTGAGCTAGCAAGGAGTGGCTCCGAGGTGTCCGTCCTTCCTCTTCCCCAGCCCCAAACCCCACAGTGCTCACTACTGTAGTCCGCGTCACAGCACACCTCAGTGCTGAGGGCCACGCTTCAAGTGCTCAATCGCCACGGGACGCTGGTTACCACTAGAATGGCGTCCCCTGGAGCCCTGCTACTGAGGCTCATGATTCCTGAGCCAGCAGCACCAACATCACCTCTCCCCCCTCCCTACTCCCCCCACGTTGGACACAAGGCCCCTCTTTGAGAGCGGGAGGCGTTGGAAATAAGACTTGTCACAATTCAGGTGCTTTTTGACTGTCTTCCATTTTTATGTCTATAAGCATTTTGCCTGCAAGTATGCCTGTGCACCACGGAGGCCAGGAGAGAGTGGTGAAAACCTTGGGACTGGAGTTTTAAAAGTTGTGAGACACCACGTGGGCTCTAGGAACTGAACGTGGGTCCTCTCCAAGAGCAACAGGTGCTCTTAACCAGTGAGCCAACTTCCCAGCCCAGAATCCCAGTACCTGAAGATATATACCAAAGAGTGGTAGAACTGGGCCATCTGGTAGCTCTGTTTTTAGGTGCTTGTTTGATTTAAAGACTCTCCATAGCCGGGTGGTAGTGGTGCTCGCCTTTAGTCCCAGCACCCAGGAGGCAGAGGCAGGCGGATCTCTGTGAGTTCGAGGCCAGCCTGGTCTACAAGAGCTACTTCCAGGACAGCTTCCAAAGCCTCAGAGAAACCCTGTCTCAAAAAAAAAAAAAAAAAAAAAACAAAAAAAACAAAAAAAACAAAAAACAAAAACCTCTCCATATACGTTTCCATAGAGGCTACACCAGTTTACATGGGTTCTCTTTCTCCACAGAAACTGTTGGTGTGTGTGTGTGTGTGTGAGAGAGAGAGAGACCTGCATGTATGTCTGTGTACCATATACATGCATCTCTCATGGAGGTGAGGAGAGGTCATCACATCTCCTGGAACTGGAGTTAACAGGTGAACCGCCCTGTGGGTGCTGGGAATTGAGCGCCTGAGTCCTCTGGAAGTACAGCCAGTGTTCTAGCTGCTGAGCTGTCTCCCCAGCCCCAGATTCTTTTTTATTCAATGGAGGACCCCAAACTATGCAATGGTGCTGCCCTGCAACTTCTGTTAAACTTCTCTGGAAATGCCCTCACAGGCATACCCCGAGGGGTTTCTTCTAGGTGAGTCTAAGTCCCACCAAGGTGCCACTCAAGACTAACCATTGCGCCTGCTGAAGAGTTGGGGCCTGGTGAGGTAGTTCCAGAGTGGGCCCCGGGAGGTCGCAGGCCTTTTGATTTGTTTTAGTGTGTGTGTGTGTGTGTGTGTGTGTGTGTGTGTGTGTGTGTGTGATGGTTTGAGTGGAAACGACTCCCACAGGCTTGCAGATTTGAATGCTTGGTTGGTGGAGCTGTTTGGGAAGGATTAGGAGATGGGGCCTTGTTGGAGGAGGTGTGTCACTGGGGGGAGCAGACTTTGAGGATTCAAAGGCCCAGTGTGTAGTGGGTTATTCACTTTGTCTCCTTCTGTGGCACTGAGCACACCCATTGGGGGTGGAGCCAGGGGCGGAAGTGACCTGGGGAACTAGGTCAGAGGAGGCGCAGGAGAGCCCTCTCTTGCAAGCCGCTCAGGGACAGGAGGACTTCCAGAGGAATTCTTGGAAGCAGGAACCTGTTGGTGTTCACCTGTCTATGTTGTGAGTTATTTCTCCCTGAATAAACATCTGTTCGGCCTAATTGTTTAACCTGATCCTTATTAAACCACGATGCCCGTGCCCTTCCCAGTTAGCCCTCTCTTTCTGCCTCCTGCTTGCAGATAAGGATGCAATATCTTAGCTTCTGCTCCAGCCCCATGTCTGCCTGTCCATTGCCATGCTTGCTGCCACGATGGTCATGGACTCGCTGTGCGAGACTGTAAGCGACTCCCCAACAAACTCTGTCTTCCCTAAGCTGTGTTGGTTACTGGTGTTCCTCACAGCAAGAGAAAGGTGACTGAGATAGTTTGTGATTGTGTGTTCATGTGTGCACACGTGTGTGCACACGTGTGTGCACGGGAACACTCGCATGTGGAGGTCAGAGTTCAGTGTCAGGTGATTTCTTCGGTAGTGTGCCACCTTATTCTCACTGAAGCTGGAGCTCACCGATCTGGCTAGACTGGCTGGCCACAAGCCCCACAGCACCCACCTGCAATTCAGGTCCCAGGGGATCCAATACTCACATCTGGCCTTTGTGTGTACCAGGCACACAGGTGATGCACAGAAATATCATGCCACCAAAACACACACACACACACACACACATTTTTAAAGCATTTGAAAATTACTTTAGAAAACAAAAAACCAATGATTTCATGTGTCTCTGCTTCCTGACTGTGAACTTAATATTAGCAGCTACTTCCCCATCATAAGAGACTCCTGCTCAGGGAATGAGCCTAAATCAGCCCTTCCTGCCGGGGATGTAGTCCAGTGGCAGAGTGTTTGACGGGCCAGCATGCATGAGGTCCTAGGTCCATTCTTTGATATCAGTATGGGGATGAACAGAGAGGGGATTTCCTTTTCCAATTGCTGTCTTCAGGGATTTTATCACAGCACTGAAAAAAAATGAGCAATGCCGTAGGCCACTCAGTGATCCAAGGTTGAGAAGCTCTGACCCGTACACCAGAGCCAACACTCTGCCTTCTTCAGCCTGTGTGCTATGGTATCACTCAACGCTAGCTCCTGCCTTCTGAGACCATGGCTCAGCCAAGTCATATGCCCTAAGCAGAGTCTTTGAGAGACCCCGCTGTGCTGAGTGGAGAAAGGTCGAGTTCGGGGGCCATGTTGGGGCACGGGAGAGTCCTGCAACAAGTCTTGCTGCTACCTGCTACCTGCAGATGATCTGCTTGTTTAAACTGGTCTGGGCGGTGTGCAAACCATCTCACATTTTCTCTGTATCTCTCCCCCTCGTCCTCCACCAGGTTCTGTGCCTCGAGATACTGACCTTGGAGGACTGCTTCAGGCAGCTTCCCTGGTTCTCTGATCTGCTGATGGCCAGCACCAACAGTCAAAGTAAGAGGAGAATGCAGGGGTATTTACATAACCCATGCTCTCCAATCTAGGGGCTCTGGTGACTGGTCTTGACCTTCAGGCAGCCTTCCCTGCCCCTGCCCTTCTACTTCTGGTCATTCTCATCCCATGATCCTTTGGGGCTCCTCCAGAGTAGCCAGCTTAGAGGGACTACACTGGTCCCTTGGTCATCCCTTCATTCTGCTTGTGCCTCAGCAAACAGCTCCCCCTGCCAAACTATTCTCAAGCTGTCCACGTTGATGGCTGTACCAGGCTTTTCCTTTTCCAACAGCCAGCTCCCAAATCATGACATGGAGACTTATTAGCTATGAATGGCCAGCCTTAGCTTAGCTTAGGCTCATTTCTTGCTAGCTCTTATAACTTTTTCCTCTTCATCTACATTTTGCCTAGGGGCTTTTTATTTTCTTTCCTTCTGTGTATCTAACTTTCACTACTTCTTGGCGTCTGGCTGGTGGCTGCCTGGCTTCTGGCCCTGTGTGTGTCATGTGTGTCACTCTCTTTCTCCCTGGCTCTCTTTCTTCCTCTCCAGCCCAGATTTCTCCTCCTACTTATTCTCTCTGCCCGCCAGCCTTGCGGATCTCTCTCCTGCCTAACTACTGGCCACTCCTCTTTTTTAATCAGACCAATCAGGAGCCTTAGGCAGGCAAGGTGAAACAAATGTAACACATCTTTATGTTGTTAAACAAATGCAGGATAAACAAGTGCGACGTATCTTTACACAGTTAAAGTAATATTCCATAGCATAAACAAATGTAACACATCTTCACACAGTTAAAATAATATTCCACAACAGGTGGTATCGTTTTATTCTCACTAACTCAGTAATTATTGGGAATGACCTTAAGATGAGAGTCTAGAACTGAGTTGATCACATATGCTCTGTTGGGAAGGACAACCTGGCAATCCACTGCAAGCAGTGTCATCAAACAAACAAACAAACAAACAAACAAACAAAAAAGATCACTGCAGCTACAGGTGGTGTGAAAGTCAGCCAATCCGAGCGCCAGTCCTGGGTGTTACCAGGCACACTGACCCATCAAGCTGGACTGGCACCTCAAGCTTCTCTTGTGCAATGGGTGCCGTCTATGCTGAGTTT